TAATGAAGATAACAGTCCAAATTATTATGCTGCAGTTAAAGCCTTTTCACATAATCACATGTGCTTTTTTAAATAATCGTGTTCACACTGGGTGGCTTCTTCTAATGAATAAGACGCTATGCTGCGATTTCAGCACGAAAAGCAAAAATTAAACATTGGTTTTCTGATTTAGTTTGCCACATGCAAGTGCTTTACTCAACTTACTCAGAGTAGTTTAGGGAAGAGTTTCAGCGAAGACGAGGAAAGTAAAAGTTTAAAGTAATTATTATCTTGGTACCTATAAAACTGTATAGCCCTAAGCTTCCAAGACAACTTCCGCTGCAGGTCCGCGCCTAGTAGAGGTCACATGCACACAATGGATAATAATCTATGGTCACACGACGGCAATGACAATGAGAGTATCTATGATCAGATCATGGAAATTCCCATCTCGGTCATACGTTATCTTGTTCAACTTGTAGTGTGTGAACTGGTTGGCAGCAAAGACAAGGTAAGCAAATACGTCATAAAAAGGGTTGATTTTTATATCTAGGGCTGAAAAAACAAAAACCTACAGAAAGACATACAAAAAAGTGAGAAAAAAGCCTACACTACGCCATCCATTACAAAAAGTTTAAAAAATAGCCTCGAAAATAGCAGAAGTAGCATTTACATTATGTGTATATATATATATAATATATATCTCATTAATGAGATTCATAGATGAAATATAATATATATCTCATAATTATGACATCATCCTTTGATGTGGTTGGGTTTATATTTTTGTATTATAAACCTGCCATTCAGAAATGCTGTCATCATTATGAAATATATCTTATATAACATACTAGAACTGGTCAACATACAAAAGATATAGACCTTTGGTGGGTGTCCTCGGATGTGATATAGACCCCCTAGGAGCTAAGATTATTTTCAATGAATATGATTACAATAATGATATTCATTCATAATAAATGAAATTTTCCTGTACTGTATCCACCCACAATGTAAATTACTGATGGCAAGAAGGCCTCAAGATCAAAAGAAAATCAAAGGCGGTGACACCGCCTGGCCATTTTTCTGAGTGCTACAAGGTACTACAGGCTTACAAGCAGCATTTATGGAAAGTATGGAGGCCAGACAACATCATATAGACCAGGTAACTCTTGCTGCAGCATAGTTTTCTTGCTATGCTTCATTTCGGCACCTTGGGCTTTGATCTGCCTTTGATGTGGAGAGCCTCTTGCCATCAGTAATTTTAATCATGGGTGGCTACCGTAACTAATTCATTCAAAATAGTCTTAGCGCCTAGGAGGTCTATAGCCTTTGGGCCTGTGGCCCTCGAGCTATATCACATCCTTGGACACCCACCTCAGGTCTATATTTTTGTATATAGACCTGTTTAGTATGATATATAATACACATATAACACGCCGATATGGTTTGATACGTCTTCCACCTCGGATACTTTAAATTCAGGGCGTAGCCAGCGGGGGGGGGGGCAACTGGGGTTAAGTCAAAATTTTAAAATGTTAAAATAACTAGGTGAATGTAAACATTGAGGGGGCGAGCCATCAATTCACATTGTTTGATAAGAAGATTAAAATTATAATAAATCCAGCTCTTAGCCTGCATGCATTATGCATATTCAGAGGCCGGGGTCTGAACAGAGCAAACACACCAGTTAACACAACCAAAATAACCCAGTAAAAGAGACAAGGATGAACTATCCTGTCACTTTGAAAAAAATGTGCCAAGCTAAACTTTTAATCAAGCTTCCATCTTTTTGAAATAAAACTACTGAAATAAAATCAATCCAGCTCTTAACGTGCATGCATATTCAGACCCCATCCTGCGCCAGACTAGAACAGAGCAAACTCACTATTTAACGCCACTGACCAAAATGACCTAGTAAAAGTGACAAGGATGAACTGTCCTAATACTTTGAGAAAACTTATGTGACAAGCTAAACTGTAATCAAGGCTTATCAAGCTTCTCTCACAATTTTAATTCTTTTAATGAGAGGACTAATCTAGAGGAGTCTTAGATCAAACTGCTTTTAAGTTCTTCAGCCTTTAGAGATGCTTTAGACAGCCCCTCTCTCTTATCTAACTGTTAGAAACTCAATCTGAGTTTGTCACGTTAAAATTTCCGCCATCTTGCTCTTTTTGGCCACACCCTCTTTACAACTCTTGTCCCTAAATTTTCTTTGTTTTGAAAAGATTATTATTATTATTATTAATTTTGCCCACGTGGTCCAAATTTATCAATAATAGTATACTAATTTAATTTTCGTATTCTTCCGTTCATAAACAAGACGTAACGCAAATAGACCTAGACAGATTAGTGTGGGTCTTGCTTATGCTCGCCCCAATAATCTACTTTTGGAAAGAAAAGCTGTTATACAACTTACATATGAAAGGAAAAGGCCAAAGCAGTCTTTCTATGATGCCATTATAAAGCTGAAAAGGTATTCAACGTTGCCTATGATTGGTCAAGAAGTCCGCCATGTTGAAAAATAGGTGTGGTCATGCCCAAAAAGGGTGTGGTTTTGAAAAATTTTGTGGTACTCTGTGCACCGCACAACTTGCCTCCTCTTTGAGGGGACAAGTCCTTGGGCCTTCAGCCCTCAGGTGATATCAATTCAATTCCCATAATGTTGTAATATATATAACATATAATTATAGCACAATGATGACATCATTCCTTTGATGTGGTGGGTTCTATATTTTGTATATACACGTAGCTAAACCTGCCATGCAGAAATGCTGCATCATATATTTTGTATATGCGACCTACTAGTGTACTATATAATATACATATATATCTCATTAATGAGATTCATAGACGAAATATAACACACTGATATGGGTCGATACACCTTCCACCTCGGATACTTTGAATTGATATCACCCTTGGGCCTTCGGCCCTTGGGTGATATCAATTCAAAGCATCCTTGGTCTCGGGATATTGACTCCCATATCATCGTGTTATGTAAACATATATACATACATACATACATATATATATATATATATAGAGACCTTTGCATTAGGCATGGCAGTAGGCTGGGTTATTGGAATATTCAGCCATTTTGGTGTACAGATATGGTGATTTTCCTAAATCACCTCTGATGCAGCTTCATAATCCTGCCTATTGTTGTATTATTATCATTTGTAATGATCAATATAATGATAAAAATGATGTGGAAAGACATTAAAAGATGACTTGAAACTTTCAGCAAGTTAGAGCCAGTTGGAGGTGATGAAAGTATGGTCCAGTTAGAGCCTTAAGGTGGATTTACACTGCAAAGTTAACGTAAGGTAAGGCCATTGGTTTATACAGCACTTCCTGTCTTAACGTATGGCCTTACCTTACGTTAACTTTGCAGTGTAAATCTACCTTAAGTTCTGCTGTTTAACAGAGCAAACTTGATCATTTACTTTATAATAAATTAGTGTGAGCATTTTCCTTGATTTTCATCTATAAAAAAGAAAATATTATTCTACCTTTCTTAGTTTTTAAACGCCATAAGCAGCAATTGCCACCATTACTTAGTACAGCAACCATAAGATGCTGTACACCAAGATGGCCAACATGAAACCCAACCTCCTAAGTGCCCCACCTAATGCAAAGGGTCTATATATAATTATGATCATACGTAATTTCATCTCATCCTGGGCTTTCTCGATCACTATTTTTCTTTAGTTTTACTACACGTATGTAGACTCAAGCCAATGATCTTGTTGGTCGTCTAATGAAGTGCACTCCTCATTATATTCGCTGCATTAAACCAAACGAGACAAAGAAACCTCACGACTGGGAGGAAGACAGGTACACTTACCATGTACACACCATGTACAATACATGTGCAATGAATACATGTCACTGTTAGACCTTAAGAGATACTTTTGGTCTTTTAGCCTGGTCTCCTGAGATCTCTCATTTTTTAATTTAGACTTTGTACCATTAAGTCTCACAATTTTAGCCTCGATTAGTGTTTTCAATTTTTAGTGTTTTATTGATAAAGTTTGGCCAAATTTTGGCAAAAATGAAAAATAGATTCTCCAATGTTATGATATTTTCTGATACATATACATGTACTAGTACTACACGTACACTTGTAGTAATCATAGCCATAGCTACATACACTAGACATGTAACAATGATAATAGTGATAAATGAGATCTGATTGCCTTGTGCCTGGCACCTGCGCGACTTTTGAAATGAAATTTGATCTGCCCACATACCACTACAAACCAATCAAAGCACTGTTGATTCGTAGATTATGGAAATTATTGCACTCGGGACAGTCTTGACGAAAATGTAGCACTCGGCTTCGCCTCGTGCTACATTTTCCTCTCGACCGCCCCACGTGCAATAATTTCCATAACCTACTCTCAACAGTGCTTTAACTAATACTTAAGTAGTTCCTTTATCCAGTCATTGAATTGGTAAACAGTGCAACAGAAGTGGGTGTATGTATGCACCTGAACTATATTCATGAATATCTTTATCACTCTTATGAAAGTGTCTGGAGTGGAGGAGTATGTGATTGTTACTATATCACTACTATGGACAACATTTCAGTATATGACTATATTTGGTCATTTCACAAACATGTACTTATGTTGTATAGAAACTTTGAGCTCATTTCAATAAATTTTGGATATTCTTTACAAACTTTTACTTACTTAAAAAATCAGACAGAAGTTCCTGTAATATATAAGGATTTTTACCAAATTTAGCAAAAATGAAAAGTAGAGAACTGTCCATTTTTATTTCATTTCCTGATATATATACATGTATAGAAAGTTTGAGCTGATTCTGGATTTTTTTGAAAATTTTAGTAGTTGCTCCTTGGGTGTACTCTAGTCTTAATTAAGTCAAAATCAGCTCAAAATTTCTACACAGCAATATGTATTTTTAAAATGTAAAAAAATTTAGAGTGATTTCACAGCCTTGTTTTAAAAACCATGGGCTATAAAAATATTCGTTTATATTATTGTGCAATTAATTGCCTTAGGATGCTGATAAGTCTCATCCAGTTGTGTTTGTTGTTGAATTTGTTGAGGAAGTTAACTTTATTCTACTGAGTGGCTTACTGTTGATCCTACAGTGAGTTATTATACATGTACTTGTACTTTTAATACTATATTACTATTGTACTGTTATGCATTTACTGCAGTGATATTTATTATTGTGTGTAGTGGAAGGTTTCTGAGTTGATAGCGTTTCCTTTGTTACAAAACAGAGCTCCATTATATAATTTTGGTATTACACAAAAAGTGTGTGATCTAAAAGCGTATTATAATTATTTTGGTTTAGTGAGTGCTAGTGCTTAGTGTAATAATTATTGTACATGTAGATTAGTTTATTCTTCCTGTTTTTTGGTAAGACCTTTCAGCAATTCAGCAGTTATCCATTATTGTTTTTATCCAGTTATTAGTGAGAGGTAATTTGAGACTCAATACTCACTAACATAATCATGATTATTTCCTCTAGTATGTTGTATCTTCTAAATTGCATAAGCTTCATGAGCTGACATGTATTGTTACATGTACCCACTATCACTTTAAAAATATGGAACTGCATACATGTACATATACATTGTATGTACATGTACAATTGTACATGTATACAATACACTTGTTCATGAATTCTGTCCATGTGTAGGTATGCTCTACTCACTCCTGAGACTTATCCTCGTTGGACTGGTCCAGTCCAGGATGGTATACGACACTTGATGATGTCAGTCAACATGGAGCCGGACCAGTGGCAGCTGGGGAAGACTAAAGTGTTTATCAAGAGTCCTGAATCAGTGAGTATTGGCACTATTTGAAATATCTACTGTTCTCTTTTTTCGATCTTTTTTACTCTTTGTTATTTTTCATTGTGGCTTATGGTATAGCTGGTAATTTTGGAAGGATAGAAATTAATTTTGACAAATTGCTATATTTTTTGGTGATTGGCTGATTTTAATATGGTAAATTTGTGGCCATGTGTCATTGAGCATGCACATGAAAGTTCGGAATGGTTCAGTTTTATTTTTAGTGAATGGCTATTGAAATGCTAAATTCACCAAAATTAACAGCTGTAAATGGCAATCTACTTCATTCTCTTTTATTATTCATTCATTGTCCTCAGTATTATTATTATTATTGCTATAAAAAGAAAACAAAAAGCACAATACAACACATAGACACAATAAAACAAAATAATTTTGAACAAAACAAGAAAGAAGTAAAACTACCTTAAGGTTACTTTTAAATGCGGGTACTATTAATTGCGAATTTTGCGTTTGGGTTAAAAATCGCAATTATTAATACTCGCAATTATTAATAATGACATTATGATGCCATATCCCTTTTCCTTACACAAGTAATTCGCAAAGATGAATCCTTTGGACAACTTTTTGAATTATTTATGTTGTCATGGAAATCATCCATTATTCGACACCACACCTCTTGACCACGCCCAATCAGCCATTTTGATCGTTTTTTATAGAGTATCTTTGTGCCTTTCAAGAGCTTTCAGTAGACCTGCAAGTTCTATTCCATTCACTTAAAAGTGCTCCAAAGCACCTAAACTGTTTGCACCTACATAAATTTTAGCTGCTGCATTTACTTACAACCAGTTTCATTGCCTTTACAATATCATCAACAAATAGTCAACTTTTTGCAAAAAAAAAAGTGTTGAATAGCAATTATATCAAAGTGCCGACAAAGCATTCTTTCACTTTTCTATTCTTTCCTATGGTTTCTATTTTACCACTAATATTATTCAATACCAATTTCTGCCAAGAAGGTGTGGTTTCCTGTAAAACGCACGTGTTTGCCCTAAAAAGAGGCGTGGTAATTGCTTTTTTATTAATTGTTATTACCTTGTTGTAGTTCTACAACAAATTGTCAGGCAAAGAGATATAGCTATTAGTAATAATTACTTAATCGCAATTTTTAATACCAGCAAAATCTACCTTGTGTTAAAATCGCAAAATTTAGTACCCGCAATTAAAAGTCACTCTAAGGTATTATTATTATCATTATTATTATTATTATTATTATTATTATTTTCTAGTTATTCTTATTGGAGGAGCTTAGAGAGAGGAAGTATGATGCTTATGCTCGTAGGATCCAGAAGGCATGGCGTCGTCACCGGTCAGACCAGTACTACCAGACACTGAAGGAGAGAGGTAAACACACTCGAATCTAATAACCAACAATGAATATAAACTACATGTACATCTCTTATGCATACACTACACTTTTTATGTACATGCATGTACATGTACATTCATATGCTCAATGCATCACCAATAAATGTACATGTAAAATGCATGTACATGTGTACTATATATCTCTTATAGACCTCTTGGTGCTAAATATATTCATAACGTTACCGTAATAATTTCTATCTTTTAGCCCCACCTATTAGGTGTGGTTTTCATTGTGGCAGCCATTTTGGTGTCCAACATGGCCAATCTTTTATATGGTAGAAAATAGTTTTCCTCTTTTTCCGGAGCTGATAAGAATAGATATAATGCTGAAGTAGAATGGATCAGTGGTAAGAAGTACTGTGATCAATTAGACCCATGCCAGATTCGTGAATGGATTGATAACATCGAGAAGTGGCCTCAGTTGCAGTCAGCTTGGGGACATAGAAAGCAATGAAGGCTTATAAAAGTTTAGAATCATACAAATATTACAACAGGTAGGTTGTTGGACAGTTGCTATGTCTTTATTTTGCTGGCCATAGTGGATAAGGGTTCAAACTATTCTGCTACATTGTATATCTGACAA